GGGATTGACTTACGTTCTGCTGGAGTGGTGGCTTTATTGGACATGCAATGGCTGAATCAATATCTAACATAGATGCCCCCATCCAAATGACAATCTGTCGCCTTTTTGTGGGGACAAGGCTTGGTGTTTTTGTAGCAGATGTGCGGTTTGAGATTAAACAATGCAAATAAGCAAATAAATAGCAATTAAGTATTTGTGAAGAATATTAAGTTGAGAATTGTAGATAAGATAAGATAAGATATTTATTGCATAGCATTCCATGAAGAAACAGTGGCAATATTCTATAAGCTACAAATATTTACACAGTAGGTACAAGAAATATAGATACATTTCACACATAAATGATGTACATTATAACAATTTTTTAGAAATCATGTGGTATAATGACATGGAAATAATATATGAGGAGACTATGGTAAGATATAGATTAGGGTAGCCTTTTGGTTCAATTCCCCTCATGGGTACAATGTGTGAAGCACATTTCAGGTGTTCCCCACCGTGATATTGCTGGAATATTGCTAAAAGTGGCATAAAACTAAACTCACTAAGTTATTGACTAAATCACTTGCCCATCTAGCCAAGACCTACATGATGATTCCATCCAACACCCAAACCAAACCAACAAACTCTTGCTCTCTTGCTCCCTCCATCACTCAAAGATATAGGGCAGCAGGCGTTTGTGTAATTCACATGGATCAATGTGATTTATGATTTTGGATGTATACTGTTACAACAATAACCAGTTGATGGGAAACTAATATTTGGCTGGTCCAAGTATACAGCCCAACTGTGGCCAGTATCATTCTCCCCATATCCGCTTCAGCAGTGGTGGTAAATCAGCCATCCTCTCACACACAGCTATTTCCACAGGTCTGTTAGGGGCTATTTGAATTTGTCTGTAACCATGGCAATAGGTTTCCATTGTGCTGACATTTGAAGATGGATATAGACAGTCTCCAGGAAAACAACATTAGATGTGAGGTTTTATAGGTAGTCTCTGCTGCAGTAGTCTCTGCTGTAGATTCATCACCCAATATACAAAAAACAAAGTTGCATCAAAACAAAGGATAAACTAGTAGTTTCAAAGCAAAGAGTGAACAGATAGTCTCAAAGCAAAGGGAAAAAGTTGCCTCAAAGCAAAGGATGAACAAAGTTGCTTCAAAACAAAGGAGGGATAAAGTTAAGCTGGGCCCCATCTCTCTTATCGCAAGGTTACATGCAAAGGGAGCTGGGAACCAGCTGAGGATAAAGTAGCCTCAAAGCAAACAGGGAACAAAGCCTCCAAGCAAAGGGGAATCAAGTAGCCTCAAAGCAAAGGAGGGATAAAGTAGCCTCAAAGCAAAGGGGAGCAAAGCCTCCAAGCAAACGGGAACAAAGCCTCCATGCAAAGGGGAATCAAGTAGCCTCAAAGCAAAGGAGGGATAAAGTAGCCTCAAAGCAAAGGGGGGATCAAGTAGCCTCCAAGCAAACAGGGAACAAAGCCTCCATGCAAAGGGGAATCAAGTAGCCTCAAAGCAAAGGAGGGATAAAGTAGCCTCAAAGCAAACGGGGAACAAAGCCTCCAAGCAAAGGGGAATCAAGTAGCCTCAAAGCAAAGAGGAATCAAGTAGCCTCAAAGCAAAGGAGGGATAAAGTAGCCTCAAAGCAAAGGAGAAACAAAGTAACCTCAGTACAGAGGATTAACAAATTAACCTCAAAGCATAGGATTAAGAAAGTAGCCTCAAAGCAAAGGATTAACAAAGTAACCTCAAAGCAAAGTTGGAACAAAGTTGCCTCTGTGGAGCTTGGTACATGGTTTTGTTAGAGATGGTTATGTCACCTAATAGAAGCCATTGTGCTTGTTTCCGTTCTCGATGAAATCAATACATATTGTGTTCTACTGTAGTGCTTTGTTTACTGATTGCTGTAAAGCAAGACGTAAACAGGTAGATGGGGTTTCCTGCTAGGGACGGCTTCTATGTACTTCCCTTTGTGATTTATTTATCCTGATTGAATAACGGTAATAGCAAACCACCTGTTTGTCAAGGCCAGATAGAAAACAAATTAACCTCTATTTTCCTGACAGTATATACCAATTACCTTAGATGCATTTATTTAAGTATGTTTTGGAGTTAAAACCAGTGCTGTTTATTGTTATTGTTGGGGGGGGGGGCTTTAGGTGGTTCAGTTGTCTTAGGCACAACAATTTACTGATCAGAGTTACATCCCTTGGGCGCACCAGGAACCTAGTTTGCTCTGATCATGTTTCTAGGTTTGTCGGCACCATTTCACAGAAGTAGTAAATGTCTAAGACATGCATGACTTGTATTTCATCCCACTTAGGGGTGGTGGGGTTTCCTTGAGTTAAAGCATTTACTCCTCATGTATTGTCAGTTTACAACCAGTCTTTCCATATCTAGGACGGTGGGGTAGCCTTGTGGATAAAGTGTTTGCTCGTTACGCCGAAGACCCAGGTTCGATTCCCCACATGGGTACAATGTTTGAAGCCCATTTCTCACTCACTACAAAAAATGAAATATCAAGCCCAATCTGGAACTTGAACCCCAAATCTAAGGGAGATAACTCTGCACATTTGTTTGCACCCTGACTAGGCCATTATATGGAACTAGTTCTGACTTAAACTCCACAGAAGTATCACAATATAAGCAGTAACATCTTGTTTTGTAAGTGGGTTCGGACAAACTTGTTTTATAAAGGACCAACAACAAAGATGGCAGTGACCTGTCAACCATCACCTGACCTAGTAACCGCAATGACAGTACTGGTCAGTGATCCACAATTATGAATTAATAATAATGTTTAGACTTCATACACATATTTCTCCGGTAAATCATTCTGGGGACTGTATCAGCCGTGACAAGTTGTTGTTTAAAGTTGAAGCCTCTTCAAGCCCTGGCTGGCACACAGACAGAATGATGGACACCTGTTGAGCCAAGTTTTCACCTCGTCTGAGTCATGTCCACAATTTTCAACCTGAAATTTGTCACCTGATAAATATCCTTGGGGGCTGTGTCAAATGTTGTCAAGTTATTTACAAACTAATTCTTTGTTTTCACGGCAGTTAATTGTTAATTAACTGTCTTTCTTCCTTTCATGAGTAAAACCTGACTTTCCAAAGGTTTTTATTTTCAAAATAGTAATTGAAATGAAGAGCTTTTATTTAAAATGGTAGTAAAACTTTGTAGAGCTTTTAATACTGGTTTTAAAAGCATTCCATTTATGTCAAGTGGGATGAGTGAGTGAGTTTGGTTTTACGCCGCTTTTAGCAATGCTCCAGCAATATCATGGCGGGGAGCTGTAGGGATTTGAACCTGGGTCTTTGGTGTGACAAGTGAACACTTTAACCACTAGGTTACACTACTGCCCCTTTGTTTGTAAATGCAATACTTGTGTTCAAGGGATTCTTCAAAGAGAAGACCTGCAAAACTTGGGCTTGCCTCCTTCATTAATCTGAATCACCTAGGTATAATGTTCAAAACAGCATTAACCCGTGAAGATCCGGGTTAAAATGGGCCTTCAGTAACCCATGCTTGTCGTAAGAGGCGACTAACGGGATCAGGTGGTCATGCTGGCTGACTTGGTTGACACATGTCATCGGTTCCCAATTGCGCAGATCGGTGCTCATGCTGTTGTTCACTGGATTGTCTGGTCCAGACTCGATTATTTACAGACCGCCACCATATAGGTGGAATATTGCTGAGTGCGGCGTAAAACTAAACTCACTCACTCAAAACAGCATTAAACCTTAAGCCTTAAACATACATAGGTTCAGTTCAAGATCGTGTATCACCTGTGTGTTAGTGGTTGAAAGCTCCAGTGATTGGCAGCTGACATCTTTCTTGTTGATAGCCCTTGATGCTGCTTTATCTTTGATAAGTAAACAAGTGTTAGAGATGCCACAACCCACTTTACATAGCAGTATATCAGTCTGTCTTACAGACCCTGCGGAATTAATTTAAGGTGCAGCCCAACTCAAGTTAAGAATTATGGGCATGTCTAGATTGCCTCTGATCTAGAAATAAAGCTTACCTCTATATTGGATATTTTTTAGTAACTTTGTAGATGTGTTTCTTTTAAAATGAGATTTATGTATTCATGGGACTTAATGTTAATGGAATCAGTATATCAATCCTAAATCAAATGAGATACCTCTATGGGGAGTTCTACAAGGTGTCATGTAGCATGCACTAGTGCGTGGATATATGCGCTATATAAATATCCAATAATAATAATAATAATAATAATAATGTACATGATTGTTGTAATACATGACTAGATTGTCTCAGTTCCTGAAATTAAGGATTGTGCAGGACTCATTTGGAATTGTATTTTATTTTATTATTTTTTGTTTTGTGGATATATGTTTTTAGATATGCTAACTTTATTTCTGAGACTAAATGTCAGCCCAGACATGTTTTAAAGGCAACTGTGATATAGCTGAAATATTGCTGATTGTGGCTTAAAACATCATTCACTCTTTGACAAATGAACAAAGGTGTGGGATGAGTGTTAACCCACTTAGACCTGTGAAGATCTGGGTTAGAATTGATCTTCAGTAACCCGTGCTTGTCGTAAGAGGCGACTAACAGGATCGGACTTGGTTGTCACGTCATCGTATCCCAATTGCGTAGATCGGTGCTCATGCTGTTGTTCACTGGATTGTCTGGTCCTGATAGGAATATTTACAGACTGCCATCATATATCTGGAATATTGCTGAGTGCGGCATAAAACTTAACTCACTCACTTAACCCACTTACTTATAAGATCACTGGATTGTGTGGTCCTGACTGTAGTATTTACAGAGTGCCATCATACAGCTGGAATATTTGGGGTTACACAAGCAAACAAATGGTGTCTTGCGATTGATGTCTGTCCCAAATTGTATTTGTTGCCTGTTAGATACAGTAGTACTGTTGCCATGTTATATTGCCTGTGCGGGTGTATATTTGATTGTATACCCCAGGAAGCATTTCCCTGACATTCTGTTGTGATGTTGCAGGTGCGGATGGATGAGTTAGAAGATCACAAGATTGAGACCTGGAGAGGTAAGTTGAGGAGTAGATGGACAAGATAGGGAAAGGTTGGGAAGGAAAGGATGATTGTAAACTGGTGCATGAACAGAGATATGGAAAGTGAGCGAGTAAGTGAGTATGTTTTTACCCCGCTTTTAGCAATATCACAGCAATATCACAGCAGGGGACACCAGAAATGGGCTTCAGACATTGTACCCATGTGAAATTGGCTCATGGTATGATGGAAAGGAGCACAGAATGTCCCTTTATTCTCTGTATGAATTGATTCTCATGCTGTTGATCACTGGATTGTCTGGTCCAGACTGATTATTTACAGACCGCCGCCATATGGCTGGAATATTGCTGAGTGCGGCGTAAAACTAAACTCACTGTCTCACTCTCTCTCTGTGTATGAAGCTGGAGAAATCTGATAACATTCAGAATGAGCGAGTGACCTTTCCTTGTGAGTGAGTATGGTTTTATGCCACTTACAGCAATATTCCAGCAATATCATGGCGGGGAATGGGCTTCACACATTGTACCCATTTGGGGAATTGAACCTGGGTCTTCAGCGTGGCAAGCAAACGCTTTAACCACTAGGCTACCCCACTGTCCTAGATATGGAAAGACTGGTTGAAAACTGGGCATGCATGAAGCAGACTGGTTTGTTTTGTTAATGTGTTGTCCCCAGAGCAAATGGCAGCTTAGATATGTCAATGAATACTACAAAAGTAGAAGCAACTTTGGCAGAAATGATTCAAAGCTTTAATTAGTTTGGAATATAATTATCACAGTTTGTTTTCGATGAGTAAATATAGATGTATAATGAAAAACATTTGGCAGTTAGGTACAATCAGATACGTTTGTTAATGTTGAATGCAACAAGCCTAAATCTTCAGCAGTCACCAATGGATGTCATGGGCTGCGAGGCAACCATTTTAAACTGACAATGTATAGCTATTAGTGGACATGATTTGTGCTGCAGAGATCAATAATCAGCTATTAGTCTTTGGCAGCTATTGTAAAGGATTAGAAATAACACTGATGCTTCGTATGGGAACATGATCCAATTCCCCTACCTGGGAAAACATACATATAGCCTTATATGGACATCTTGGAGAGACTCGGTATATTTATGGTAGTCTTGTTGAAAGGGCATCAGATGGCATCGTGTAGATAAAGCTTAGGTGGGATTATGTGACATAGATCCTGTTGGATACTCTGTACATGAACAGGAGCCAGCTGTCATGTCATAAGAATCCTTTCCCCTGGGAAGGGATTGTAACGTTTTATCATTGGTGTGTAGTAGCTCAGGGTCATGGTATTATGACGCGAGGCTTACTCACATCTTCTGTTCACGTTTTCGGAGCTTTAGATCTAGAGCCGCTCATAGCTGATATTCAGCCCCAAGTCAAAATCAGTAATTGAAAATTTCAAAAGTTCTGCCATTACAGTATGAAGCAATATCTTGGTCTTGCAGACCTGATCTGGACTTAACAGACATCGGGAACAATAAATAAGAAGATACTGTAATGTCTAGTTAATTTTAGCATCAAATAAAATATTCTCCAGAATTTAAGAAAAAAAGGACACACTTTAAAAAAAGTCCAAATTTGTTACACATATTGCTTTTCTCTCTCTCCTCCCGAACCTTTGCCAAGGGCTGTCAGTTTGCATTCATGGATAGAACCATTTAGTCTCCTTGATCGTTAAGCATCTTAGTGAGTGAGCATGGTTTTATGCCACTTTTAGCAGTATTCCAGCAATATCATGGTGGGGGACACCAGAAATGGGCTTCACACATGTATGGAATCGAACCCAGGTCTTCGGTGTGATGAGCAAACACTTTAACCACTAGGCTACCCCACCGCCCATGAAGCATCTTAATGTGGGTGTAGTAGAAACAAGTGAAGTCCAGTTAATTGATACACCTGGCATTGTAGGACCTGCTTATTAAAGAAGTTAGAATTCCTATTATTTGGTGCTTGCATGTGTTGAACTGTTAAACTGTTTGACAGTTCTATGTTTTTTGGCACTGTCTTGCAAATTTGCTTTGAACTTGATGCTGTTGGATATATTTTTGGTCAGTTAATGAGATCACTACTTGGAAATGTTCAGTAGTATTTAGAAACTGAGGTTTTATGTTTTCATACTGAAAGTGTTGTCTGAATGTTTCTTTACAGTATTTCTTGTTCAGGCCTCTTTAATTTATAATCAAAAACAAGATGTGAAAATATATAATTTGCTGATGATTCTTTGGCACTAGCTTGGCTTACCAAGAAGAAAATTATATAACGCCCACCAACAGACTGCTTTTTCCTGATTGGCTGATATTAGTGTAGGCGGGGCTTTTGTTGCAAACAGCTACAGGTGACCTTGAAAATGCATCTGTAATCCTTGTTATAAACAGAGGATGGCCTTAAGGAAACTGTACAGGGGTGTGTGTATTTATAACCAGACGAGGGGTAGTCTGGCGCACACTTTTACCCATGGGCACACTTTTAATTGGGAATGTGTTTATCTTTGTTTGCATAACATCCTGTGATTGTTTCAGAAGTGCTACGAGACAAGCAGAAGCCATTTGTGTGCATCGACCCCGACGCTAGCTTGTACACCGCCGTCAAGACGCTGATAGAGAACCATGTTCACCGTCTACCTGTGGTGGACAAGAACACTGGCAATGCTATCTACATCCTCACGCACAAGAGAATACTGCGCTTCCTACATCTATATGTAAGTCCTGGTCCTAGAGAGGATGTGATGGCCTTTAACTCAGGTGGTGAAGTTACACTCTGCAGAGTTGTGTCCCTTGGCTGAACTCCACAGTATTTCCAGTATTCTATATGCAGTGCGCTTTTAAAACTATATGTATTGCAGTATTTTTTGTGTTTCTTGAAAAAACAAATGTAACAAGTTTTATTCATTTTTGTATGTTTTTACCCAAAAGAAGATCGTTCACAAATGATTTCCTGCAGATTTGTTGGACAAAAATTGCAGAAATGCTGAATTGATTTTTATCTCCTGTTAGCTCCTGTTATCTCCCCCGTTTCTGTGACTACAGAATGGCGATTGACCAAGTTGAGCAGTAGTTGCTGTAGTATGGAGAGGGGCGGTGGGGTAGCCTAGTGGTTAAAGCGTTGGCTCGTCACGCCCAAGACCCGGGTTCGGTTCCCCACATGGGCACAATGTGTTAAGCCCATTTCTGGTGTCCCCCCGCCGTGATATTGCTGGAATATTGCTAAAAGCGGCGTAAAACTAAACTCAGTCAGTCAGTGTAGTATGGAGAAATAAGATCTGCATGTACAATCAGTGTTAAACAGTGTTGAACACATCAGATCCCAATAAACTGCAATTAATATTGCAATACTGATACCTGTATCAAAATATATTTCAAATGGCCATTAGGCCATATTATTATTATTACTTGGTTTATGGATCCGCTAACTGTAATTTTTGCTAAATTGGAACAAAATTAACATTTCAATTGTTCCATTTTTTATATACTGCCGATAAATAAAATCCAAATAAATTATTTTAAAATCTACTTATTGAAATCGACTTTCTGTTATGGATTTAACATCGCTGCAAAACAAAAATTTAGATATTGAAACAAATAATATTGCTGTAAAACATCTGTAAACCGTAATAAAAAAAGTGTGGCCTCACACAGCCCTGCACATGACCATGCCCAAAATAGTATGACCTTTGATAGGGTTTCCCTGATTGTGATTCTGTACCCATACCTATAAGATCCTAACATCCCACTGATCTTGTTGCGGTTGATCCTGAGCCAGAAATTCAATGCCCATTCAGAAAAATGTAAATAAGTAAAACCAACGCATAATGCTAAATGATGGAGAAATTATGTTTGAGCCATAAGATAGTTCTAGATTGGAGAAGTTACTGACGTTTCTGCAGTTTGGAAGAAGATGCTCTTGATTCTTCAGTACCAGTGTACATTCCTGACGTGAATGCTCTGATATTCCTGACGTGAATGCTCTGATATTCCTGACGTAAATGCTCTGATATTCCTGACGTGAATGCTCTGATATTCCTGACGTGAATGCTCTGATATTCCTGACGTGAATGCTCTGATTGTTTCAGATTCAGGATCTACCCAAACCCTGCTACATGTTGAAGAGCATACGGGATCTGGGTATAGGAACATACGACAACGTCATTACGGTAATTATACAGCTATCTGCCACCTGACTCGCACCTTGCACCTGTGAAGATCCGGATTAGAATTGATCTTTAGCAACCCATGCTTGTTGTAGGAGGAGACAAACGGGATCAGGTGGTCAGGCACACTGGCTGGGTTGACACATGTCATCATATCCTAGTTGTGTAGATCGATGCTCATGCTGTTGATCAATGGATTGTCTGGGCCATACTCAATTATTTACAAACAAAAAACCAACCAACTAACACCTGGCAGGTGGTCAGTACTGTGGTGGGAGAAATCAAGTAGTGCTTTAGTGAACACAGTCAGCATTCAAGGGGAGGTAACCTAGCTACATGGGAAAATCTCACCTCACCTTTAACCACCACACTTAACAAAAGAAGTACCATGACTTTGAATGGAATCCTCTAGTTTTTTAGATACCTTGTTGCAGAATTGTTTACAAATTGAAATTAAACTACAAATAGTTTGAAAACTTTGTTTATCAAGGTTGGCTTTCACCTGTATTGTTGAGTAATTGATGAATGTTAGGGGTAAAGACAGCATCGAAGGATTGCTACACTGAAGGTTTGATTCAATTCCTTTCTGTTTTGTTTTCTTCCTCGTTTATGAGATTTCAGGTGGCAGATCTGGAAATCAATAGAGAAATTTTTACATTTAGTCTCTGAAATGAAAATATTTGAATGATATTTCTGTTATACAACAGAAAGGGACCCCAAGTTTATCTTAAGTAATTGGGTCTTGTGAAAAGTTGATTACTTGTTTAGGGCGCTTCAGATGTTTTTGTTTCAAACTAAACATTAATTGTTAAATACAACAGGTATTTTCCCATTTTATTTTACGTTCAAGTAATAAATATTTTGCAAGATAGTACATGTGTCCCATTGTATAGACCTGTATGTGACCTTGAGTGTGACCTTGAGTGTGACCTTGCTTGTCCTGGTGTATCTGCAGACATCCCAGGACACACCGCTGATCAAGGCTCTCAACATGTTCATGGATCACCGGATATCAGCCTTGCCGGTCGTCGATGAACAACACAAGGTCGTCGACATATATGCCAAGTTTGATGTCATCGTGAGTATTACATGGTAGATCATGTCGTTTGGGGGGATAGAGTTATTTTAAATAAATTTCAAGTGTCAAACTAATCGTCAAATGGTCTATGATTGGACTGTTTCATTGTTTTTTATTATAAATACTTGGGCGGTGGGGTAGCCTAGTGGTTAAAGCGTTCACTCGTCACACCGAAGACCCCGAGTTCTATTCCCTTCATGGGTACAATGTGTGAAGCCATTTCAGGTGTCTCCCGCTGTAATATTGCTTTAATATTGCTAAAAGCAGCGTAATACCAAACTTACTCGCTATCATAGATACTAAAGACATAATAATTTAATTAATGTGTTGTTTTCATCCAAAACGAAAGAATGGTAGGTCACAACCATTGTAATGTTATGGGGTATTTCTTGAACTGATCAAGGCTTCTGTGTGCATCAAATATTAATGGCTTTCTGATTCACATGTGTGGGTTGAGAGGACTATGTATAGAAAGAGGGAACACACTTAGCATATATTCTTTGTAGGTACAGTAAGATGATGTGAGGTGTTTTGTGGAAAATATAGTAATTCATTCATGAAGGGCAAAACTGTTTCATAAGTATCTCTCAAAGGACTGTTTGTGGAATCTCTATGAGGGTGGATGAGGTAGCCTAATGGTTAAAGCGTCCGCTCGTCACGATGAAGTCCCGGGTTCGATTCCCCACATGGGTACAATGTGTGAAGCCCATTTCTGGTGTCCCCTGCCGTGATATTGTTGGAAAAGTGGTGTAAAACCATACTCGCTCACTGAAGTTCTATGTGATTATGTTAGCCACTAGTCAAGAGCTATGATTGTTAAATTCAGTGTTTATATTTTCAATGTTTTGTCCTTCAGAACCTGGCAGCGGAGAAGACATATAACAACCTTGATGTGACCATAGCCCAGGCTCTGCAACATAGATGTGATGTAAGTCTTGCCATTCCTTGAGAGTACTCGTGAAGATCCTGGTTAGAATTGGTCTTAAGTAACCCATGCTTGTCGTAAGAGGTGACTTACGGAATTGGGTGGTCAGGCTCACTGAATTGGTTGACACATGTCATCATATCCCAGTTGATTAGATCTATGCTCATGCTGTTGATCACTGGATTGTCTGATCCAGACTCAATTATTTACAGACCGTCGCCTCATAGCTGGAATATTGCTGAGTGAGGCGTAAAACTAAACTCACTCACTCTTCTCACATTTATCTCTGTAGTTTCCTGGCTGCTGAGATATGCATATACTTAACAGGAATGAAAGTATCAGTTACAAAACAGAAAGAAATTGTAGCATCCTTATTCACAGTAACCAGCGCCAGGTCAGTCAGAGAATAGAAAACGGGGAGTGGTTAATAGATGATATAACAATGTATGTGATTGAACATTCGTGGACCCGTGAAGATCTGGGGTAGAATAGGTCTTCAGCAACCCATGCTTGCCTCAAAAAGGCGACTATGCTTGTCGTAAGAGGCGACTAACAGGATCGAGTGGTCAGGCTTGCTGACTTGGTTGACACATGTCATCGGTTCCCAATTACGCAGATCGATGCTCATGCTGTTGATCACTGGATTGTCTGGTCCAGACTTGATTATTTACAGACCGCCGCCGCCATATAGCTGTAATATTGCTGAGTGTGGCGTAAAACTAAACTCACTCACTCACTGAACATTCGTGAACTAACAAATGTTTAACTGTGCTCATGATGGCTAGACAGACATGTGATGTTGTTATTGGCTGTTCCAGGGGTTTGAAGGGGTAGCGAAGTGTATGGAGACAGACACGCTGGGCCAAGTGATGGACACTATCGTCAAGGCAGAGGTACGAACATATGCTGTCCATGCATGACATGGTCATGGCTTAATCCCATACTTTAAAATAGACTTACTAAGTTCAGTTCGTGCAAGTGTGGTCAGGTTGACTGAGAATTATCAGCAGCACAGGTTATAAGCCTGAGCTTTGGGGCATTATGTGTCCGGAGTGAATTAGTTTCAACATTAATCTGAGATTGTGCTCCACATTCTCAAGTCCATGTTGCCGCAAGTGCTATACTTGAAATTAGACTTTATGAGTGGAACCCGTGAAGGTCCGGGTTAGAATGAACCTTCAGTAACCCATGCTTGTTGTAAGAGGCGACTAACGGGATCGGGTGGTCAGGCTCATTGGCTTGGTTGACACATGTCATCATATCCCAATTGTGTAGATCGATGCTCATGCTGTTGATCACTGGGTTGTCTGGTCCTGACTTGATTATTTATAGACTGCCGCCATAAAGGTGGAATATTGCTGAGTGCGGCGTAAAACAACAAACCAAACGTAGTGAGACTGACAATAAATCTTCCCTGTCCACGCCCTTAGTGGTGCCACAGATTATTGTTTCTGTGTATTGTATGTGGTGGATGCTGTTGCAGGTACATCGGCTGGTGGTGGTTGATGTGGAGGATCATGTTGTCGGCATCGTGTCTCTCTCCGATCTTCTTACATTCATAGTTCTCAAACCAATGGGTGAGTCTTGTGCGTGTGTAGTCCAGGGGAGATAATTCACATATATAGAAGGTAGCTTGCAGCAGTAAAACACCTGAACACGTCCTACTACACTACATATGCTACCAACAACACAGAATGGTGCTCCAGAATTCACAGGGCTTGAACACACACTTAACATTACAAACAGTCCTAAGTCCACTAATAATATTTCTTATCAAAACTGGGGGCGGCAGGGTAGACTAGTGGTTAAAGCGTTCAATCGTCACGCCGAAGACCTGGGTTCGATTCCCCACATGGGTACAATGTGTGAAGCCCATTTCTGGTGTCCCCCGATGCGATATTGCTGGAATATTGCTGAAAGCGGCATAAAACTAAACTCGCTCACTCAATCACTCTCATCCAAACTGGCCTTTTATCGTGCTTATAATCCCACATAACCATATAGTGCTAACACAAAGAAAATCAAAATCAAAACATAAAAAACAAACAAAGCAAATACCAACCAAACTATCCTGTAGTTCACCCCCCTACAATTATGGCAAATTTCCCAATTAAAAATACATACAAATTTAATTATGCAACCCTAACACCCCTTCAGGTTGCCATATCTCTCCGTCAAATCAGCCCTCTTTCGATCATACACTAAATGGCCTTGTGGCCCATGTGCGAAATGCGCATTATGTCGGAAAGTGCTCATTAAATCTCCAATCATCATCATCAGCAGCAGCAGCAGTACAAGATTTTGTGATTATAAAATGATGTACAGGTTTTCATAGTATTCTTATCATGGACATAGACTGTGGGATAGTGGATGGAATATAAGACCCAAGATTGGAAGTTGGATGGTTTGAGTTCTTGTGTGGTCATACCAGATGGTGAAACCTGGTACTTGTTGCTACCTTGTCGCTAACTTTGCAGGTGCATGGCATTCTGTGGAAAGGGCACGGACTGGGTAGATAATCTCTCACTGGCAGGTGCATGGCATTCTGTGGAATGGGCTAGGACTGGGTAGATAATCTCTCACTGGGGTATTCAATCTAAACTGCTGAATGGCATCTTAATGTCTAGCATGATGAAGCCGGCTAGTCTTGTCAACCGCCAGCAGCCACACACTGCGTGTACATGAAATACGGGAAATAAGCTTGAACTCCCATTTCACTACACGTTAAAGTGAGACAGTCAAGGGGAGACAATTCGACCAAAAATAGCTGGAAATCTACTGGGGCCATAATGAATCCCAATGAATGAGATGGAAAGTTTGTAATTTGACAATAAGCCTGGCATAGGTTGTAGTTGTTTTCTTCCCACTGTGCCGAGAAAACAATCTGAATAATGATTTGGGTGAAAGAAAGTGAGTTCAAGCAGCTTTTAGCAATGCAACACTTAATGATTCATGCTGCAGAGGGGATGGTTTTCACCATACCGATTTGTGGCATCAAACTGTGATTGTGATTAGCGATATTTAGGCACACGAGTGTCATAAACATAGTATGATATGGGCATGAATATAATATTCTGTTTATTACTGAAGTCGTCAAATTCAGGTAAATAAATCAAATCTACTTTCAAACATAGGCTGGCTACCCGTCGTCGCTGCATGTAGAATGGAACGTCACAGAAGATACGTGACGTCATAACATTGTTCATGACGTCCTGTCACCATGACAAAGTGATATTTTGCCCTAGGGCATGGTATGAAAAATATGAACCCCGATATTTTCTCCCTCGTAGGTAATAATTGCTTGTATGAATGGTGATGGTGGTTCTTATTACTATTTGCTCGTCATGCCGAAGACCCGGGTTAGATTCACAACAAGTGTAAAATGTGTCGATGATATTGTTGGAATATTGCTAAAAGCAGCGTAAGATGCTATTCACTCACTCTTATTGTTATTCTTGTTTTTATTTCAGGGGTTGAACCCTCCAAGAAGTCTTGATATGCAAATACTCAGGGGATCTTTCTGTGATGATTGTCAACAAAAGAAGCTAAGCTGGACTCGGCCGACCCGCACGTTACTCGGAACTGCCAATGGGACTGACATGGAGGCAGCTGATTGAGCTGTGATATTAAACATATCCTCAACAAGCCTCGTCGCCAAATGGCAACGCCAACACTGTATTTTGGAACATCTAAGGATGGGTTGGTCGAGCTGGACCGAACTGATTATTACTATTATTCTATCTGCTGTAGACTGACAGGTACTGTTCGATCCTTCAAGGCAGCCAGAGCTTTCACAACCCATCTTAGTCTAGAATCGGGATGGGACACGTTAGCTAGTGAGCACTGGTACCAAGAATACAAGACCAAGCTTGAAAAATTGTTTGAGGAAATTGTTAGTTCTTGTTGACAGTGTTTTGTGAAAGGTGTTGAAAGAAATGACTGCTGTTTTTGAGATGGGAAAATGAAAGATGTGTAAGAGTTGCAGCCTCCCAGAGGATCGACGAGGTCCGGTTTCAGAACCTACAGCTGCAGCCTCCCAGAGGATCGAGGAGGTCCGGTTTCAGAACCTACAGTTGTCACATTGTTTTGTATGAGAAGCAGCTAGCAAGATTTGTGATCTGAAGGAATGAAAGACCATACCTTTTTATTTTTGGTTTTGATATTAAACTTAGGACCTTTTTATCCCTGAAAAAAATAGATATCAAGTTTGCTTGGAATTCATGCTTGGGTTGTGAAGGTAAGTCAAGCTCGTTTTGGCTCCAAGTCGTTGTCAAGGATCTCTTGAATTTGAGTACTATTTTGATTGTGAATTGTTACAGGACAAATCATGGAGCCCATTCATCTCTTCATGTTTGTTCACTTTGTATATTGAGTATTGTTGGGATGGAAATTTTAGCAGGATTGGTTGTACTGTTGTGATAACGTGTGTCATACATAACTATGCAAGTACATTGATTATATTAATGAAGTAATCAAAACATTGATTAGATGGTATTGATATTATGGTGACTAGTTTTCAGGGCATGGTTCAGGGCATTAATGACCTGGAGAGGTCAATGGAGATGTAGGAGTCCGATATGGCGTCGGATCAGAGACGAATTTAGGTACTGGTAGCCTTTGAAATATTGTTACGAGGTGAGCTTGTTAATGCAATATGTGTGCATCTCAGAGACAAGAACTTCTGGGGGGTCAGTTGTGTGTCCGCAAGTGTCTTTCCTAGGGAAATCATGCTAAAGTTTTCCAATGACGACTAGTCTGTTGTGATTTTGTTGATGATTGTGTGGTCAGCTGGTGATGTCAGCCATTGCAAGTTCATTTCCATTGCGGTTATGGTTTTCACATGGGCAAAGATACTTATTAAACACCAACGTTTGATTTCTTTTGAAACCTGTCTGAATTGTACATTGTGCTCAAAGTAGGGTTTTGCTGGGTATAGAAACTTGGCCTGAACTCATTGCTGGATTTCAATGGTAATATCACAATCAACTTCTTTCTTTCTTTGTTTTCTTATCTTCATCCAAGTTGAAATGTGTGGATAATTTCTTTTCCATGTGTGTTCAAATAGGAAAATCTGAGTTAAATCCCTTTAAATCTTGATTTTGTCCATTTCTAATCTTGATATGTAACCTGTAAAATGTGTGAAAAGGGAGACATTGTCCAAGACATCTGTAAAATCTTCATGTAATATTTGAGCTAGCAGACCAAGTGGGATTTGAATGACTTGAATCTAAAGTGCTAGGACAGCAAGTTATCCCCCTGAAGGAGTGTTAAGGATAACATTTTCTGCTAATGAATCAGTAGTAAGATAGAGACCTGTTTGAGACTGACTAGATGTACTGTGGCTGTAGAGAGTGTACAAAGTGTTGTGTATATATTGAGTATGTCCAGAGCTAACAGATGCTATGTGTGTGTACAGTAAATGCTTTAAGGTATATAACATGGATCCCGAGGCTGTTCTCGATTGAAGTGTATTTTGTCTCTGTGCTGTTATGATCAACACACTGGAACCATTTCTCGCATTTGTCAAGATTGAATGAGTTGCTAAAAATTCCACTCAATTACCCAGTTCTTAGACAATAATATCACCACCTTTTACAAAGCAATGAGTCGCTAAAAATAATTCCTCTGAAATTACTTTGTTCTTTCTTGATAGAAACGGGGAAGTGGGGTAGCCCAGTGGATAGAACTTGTCATGCTGAAGACCCGGGTTCGATTCCCTACATGGGTACAGTGTGTGAAGCCCATTTTTGGTGTCCCCTGCTATGATATTGCTGGAATAGTGCCAAAAGCTCTGTAAAAATAAATCTCTCGCTTGATAGAAACACAAATCTATAAGCCGTCCCTACCCATCTTTCAGTCCTGGACTCAATTAAGTGTAACAAGGCTCATCAAAGGCCATGAATTTGTAATTAGATCTATGGTAAATTCAAATTCCAAAGACGTATTTTAATTGGTTGATGATTTCAGGGTATATGTCATAATAGAACCGAGGAATGATACAGTTGGTAATTGAGGATGGTCGTGACTTGCTGGCAGCAATGCAACCCAGACGTCACGGAAACAACGTGGAGACACAGGAGTGAGTTTGATGACATGTGGAGTTGCGTATCTGCTGTGTTGGTCCATATAGTTGTACAGATCAGAGGATAGACAATATTATGTTGACAGTTGCCCAGGTTGTCAATAAATAAATTAATTCTGTACAGTGTCTCAGTTGTCTGTTGTTTCTCAAGTTAATTTCAAAGTATGGTGTGGTCCTATATCTGCCAGTTCGTATATGAATGGATATGGTTGTATCCATCATTTCAAACAAACAGACAGTGATATCACCAGTGCTGCCTATAGCTGCGGAAGGCATTGGTATGGTTCATATGCGTCTGTAGCTGTAGAGTTCTCTACGTTTGAGCTCAGCTGTTCAGGATCCATGGGAAAAATGCACGAGTGAGTGTGTTTAGTTTTACGCCACACTCAGCAATATTCCAGCTATATGGCGGCGGTCTGTAAATAATCAAGTCTGGATCAGACAATCCAGTGATCAACAGCATGGTCATCAATCTGCGCAATTGGGAACCGATGAAGGTGTCAACCAAGTCAGCGAGCCTGACCACCCGATCCCGTTAGTCGCCTCTTACGACAGGATGCAGTCTTGTTTTCTTGCAAAACAGTCAAACCTCTAAGAATATTTTACATGGCATGAATGACATGCCAGGCATCATTGTGGTACAACGTGAAGCCGATATCTGGTGTCCCCAGCTGTGATTCTGCTGGAAGCACTTTTGAAATGATTTTCTAGCATACACCATCCACTCTCTATATTACAAGAACACAGTGTTCCGAGTGGACGGAAACAAGGATGTTATACACAGATGCAGAGGGATGAATTAAACGAGTCATTTGATGACTGTTTTAATGTTGCATTAGGGAGATGTCCCACTGGACAGCTTGTAGTCTGTGCTCAACTGCAGAAGGTATTGCATTCGGTGAGCACTATGAACATAACACGAACAAGCACACACTTGCAGGAGGGGGAAACCTTGTGGCTACAGCATTCGCTCATCATGCCGAAGACCCCGTTCAATTCCCCACATGGGTACAATGTTTGAAGCCCATTTCTGGTGTCCTCTACCTATGATATTGCTGGAATATTGCTTTAAACAGCATAAAACTAAACTCGCTCTCAAGCATAAACACCGCAATGTAAGTGAAACCTCATATAGAAAACAAACGAGTCCTGATGTACTTCATTCAGGATATGTAAATTAGCAAAATATACAGTAAGCTTTAATTGTATGTAAAATGCCTTATGTGTAACAGTACAGTCAAGGGGAGATAATTTAAAAACAGCTTCAGAGACCCTCAAAAGTGGACAAACTTGGAATTAGCAGATAAGCATGGCATCGGTTGTAGTCTTTTCCTTGTACAACTTGAATGATTTTGGTTGAAAAGGTGAGTGACAGCTTATTAGTGTAGACCCTGTATGAGGAAATTAAATGTGGAGCAGTTAAAAACACTTTTTTTTTCATTTCCTAAATCTCTTAATAAATGAAACATAATTCGTGAAAAATTAGGCTTAAACTTTTTCTTTAGCAGAAAAAAAGTAAGATGTATTTTCTTTTTCCTGATGAGCAAACGTTAAAGCTTGTATCACTTTGTGGAATGGAGCTATGGCATAGAACATGAAAACAAGACCTTGCAATTTGTGATAATTGTTTATTCAGTCCTGCATGACGTTCTACAGAACATACCACTTTCAATCTCCAATTCAACCTAAGGCAGTTTAAGATGACACACGTTTCAAAAGTTGATGAACATTTGCAGCGAGCTTGCATAGTCTCGGTATAGCAGGATGGAATGTTAGCGTTCGTTTCCATGCAAGTTGTTAATTTCAAATTAAGAATTCGAGAAAAGCTTGAAAATAAGTTAACACCCACATTTTACAATTGAACCCCAATAAAAATATTTGTTTCCAATAAATATGATTTGCCTGGTCCATTTTTCTAAAATCATGGAAAATACTGGTGGTTTAAACAAGCATAATAGCGATTCGTAACCAGCAACATGAAACAAAGATGGCTGCCGAGGTCAATATATTCTTGCATATGTCTCTACTTCCACCGATCTTCAAATCGGAATATGTGGAAATATGATCAAAATCTCACAACCAAAGTTCACTTGATTATTATACAATGCAACAAAGAATCTACTGCAAAAAATCGGACAAGCTCGTTATCTGGCGATCGATGAAATGTCTGTACACGAATCCAATGTATTGCACCTGGTGTAGCTGAACTCTAGAACTACCCACACTACCGTCAGTAAAAAAACTAAGTATGTACATGCAACAGTCAGCTTAAAGTTTAACAGACAAAAACGGGAAAAGTACACAAGTGACTTTTCAAATTAAATACTTGAAAGGAAAAACGGTGCCTTTAAATGCTTTAAATATCCAAAGTGTTACAACTGGACAAATCTACTCTCAACTTTGAAATTCACACTTGAGAAAATGAAAACAGTTGAACCACAAAACTTGTAAAGTAGAATTGAAAGTGACAAGTATGAGGTATGAGTTTGAAAGCAGTCTGGACGAATTGTAACATTTCTCATGTACAATACAGGTAACAATACGTGACTGAAACTCAACTGCATGCAAGTTTTCCTAACAGATTCTACACCACGACTTCGTGATATTAAACATCAAACAACTGCAGTGAGTGATCCCTGACTGATTTGAAAACCACAAACATCTGTCATTGCTCGGCAAATAGTTGACACACAATGACTTTAAGGTACAATTCTTTGATTAAATACTACCATCTGGATTATATATTCCTGTTTTGCAGTTTAACCCTGCACAATGCATTGGGAACATTTTCAAGAGTATAATTGCTTGTATTCTGGGTTCCAATGAGAGAGACTTCAACCATTTGGGACCGTCACTAGTCCAACAAATATAATTTCATTCGACATAGCATATCGGATATGCAGCTGTACCCTCTGGTAGGTAGCCTTATCATTAGATATGAAGTCATATCATTAGCTATGTATCCATACAGATGTGTGGCTACACTGTCAGATATGTTCCTATACCATCATCAGATTTGCATCCATACCATCAGATATATACCATCCGATATGTGGCTATACCTTCTGATATCCTGCCATACCATCCGATATGTGGCTATACCTTCTGATATCCTGCCATACCATCCGATATGTGGCTATACCATCTGATATCCTGCCATACCATCCGATATGTGGCTATACCTTCTGATATCCAGCCATATCATCTGATATCCTGCCATACAATCCCATATGCAGCTATACCATCTGATATCCAGCCATATTATCCAACATGTAGCTATACCTTCTGATATCCAACCATATTATCCAACATGTAGTTATACCATCTGATATCCTGCCATACCATCCGATATGCAGATATACCATCTGATATCAAGCTATACCATCTGATATCCTGCCATACCATCCTATATGCAGCTATACCATCTGATATTGAGCTATATCATCTGATATCCTGCCATACAATCCGATATGTAGCTATACCATTTGATATCCAGCTTTACTATCCGATATGCAGATATATCATCTGATATCCAGCTATACCATCTGATATCCAGCCATACCATCTGATATGTAGCTATACCATTTGATATCCAGGAATAACATCTGATATGCAACCCTATTATCCGATATGTAGCTATACTATCAGATACTTAGCCATACCCTCATCACGCTATCTGTCTGTACCCACTGAGTATTGGTGTTCCAACACATTTATCCCTTAATCAAGGGTTGAGGTCAAGCTTCCAATAAATGCCAACAAATCTGTTCCTATAAATGCAGCCAACAAACGACCCATGGTTTATGTTCCAATGTTCGACATAGCTTCCATTTTCCTAGCTTCCATTTTTCCAGCCACGGATCCAAAGAACTGTCTTCATTTCCTTCAAAGGAATCAGCAGACGTAATTTTCCTATCAATTTACATGCGGCTGCGTGGAGCTACACCACCATGACACGAAGCTCTCATGACTCTGATGCTCCTGCAAAACAGGGCATTATCAAACAATCCTCACGCGTCTCTCTTGACTGCCTGTATAGTTTACACTGACAGTGTTGTGAGTTCACTCAGTGCCGTCTGCTCGTACAACCACACCTAGAAATAATCCAATGGACATGACACTGCATGTCCATCTTGATTCCACACATTATTGCAGGTCAATCCATTTGACAGGAGTTCCCCTGGAGCTCCTCGATCTCTCCAGATGTCACTAACCTTATAGCTTCTCTTATTGCACCATCAAGCTCCTATCTACAAAAATGCTAGTGAAATGCATTCACGCTATATTGCATTCAAAAGCACACAAGAGTTGTGAATGCCATGGGTTGACACAATAATCACAGCACTATCCATGGCGTCGATGTTATTGTCCAAAGTATCAAAGATGGCCACCGTATTCATCCATTTCTTCCTTCTTCATCTCTCATCTTCATCCGAGGACAAGTTCACTGTGACAAGTAATCACATGTGTCTTCATCAAATCAGACAAATTTTCTGAATAAAGACTGTTAGTTTAATCATCCATAGAAAATTGATGCAGTTCTTTAATTTGAGACCAAAGATGTCTTATTAAGATACAATCACATGAACATTCTTGGATCTGTTTCATCAGCAGGCAGACGTATTTACGTCCCTCACAAGCTGTGGTCATATTCCTTCCTATGTATCCAGTATCACATTGTATCACTTTTAGAACATGGCAAGAGTTGCTTCCCTTTATGCCTTATAACCAAACAAGTATTGGGTTGTTGGCACTTGAAGGGACATGGTCCGAGTTCCTGCAGGAACATGACATCTGATGGGTGCTGGTCAAGGTACTGACCGCACAAGTCTCCATCTCTGTCTGGTCATCTCCAGTCTGGAGTGCAGGTCAATGGCACAAAATGAAGGCAACCACTTGTGGTATTTGCATCTGTAGTAATAGCACCATCTGTCAACTCACGTCACCAGCTACCTGTTCACTCCAGACTTTCTGTCACCAGCCTTCGTGTTGATCCCGTTCATGTTGGTTTTCTCAGTCGTCTGAATTGCACTCTGTCTTTTCATCATTTCGTTTGTTTCTCGAACAAGTTCCTCCAACTTTTTTCTGCTCCTCCTGAATCCTCTGCTGTGCTAATATCTTCTCGTCCGATGGACTTGTCGCTTTCTTCTGAAGCAGACTTGATCGGCGTTCTGGGGGTGGGGGCTTGACCTTCCTTTCCCCTGTACTCTCCCGACGGACGACCTCCGCTGATGTCCGCCTCATGACAACGCCCCCTTGTTGTGAGTCCAGACTCGCACTTGAGCTCGTGCTCTCGCTGCTGCTTCCCCGCTCTTCCCGAGATAATCTCTTCTCTTCCGTACTCGCTTTGTTTATTATGCGTTCAGGGGCCACTTTCTGGCTTTGAAGATCTGGACGATTCATATTTGCATATATTCCCGCAACGAGATCCTTCTCGAACTTAGATGTGGGTTTCTTGGGAGGAGTTGGCTTTGGCGTGGATGATACCGGCCCACGACCTTGACCTTCCTCCGACTTGTCAGGTGATGGTGAGGTTACAGAGACAGTACGAACTGGAGACATAAGATTGCCATTGGCTGCATTGGAACTACTGGAAATACTTGCAGTTGGCAGACGGCTACTTTTCCTTGGAGGAGGTGGAGGAGGAACCTTTTTCTGTTTGCCGTCGGAACTTTCCCCCTTCCTGCTGCTTGGGGATGTCGGCTGGGAGGATGATTTACCAGATCCTCGTGGAATGCTCAGCTGAGATCGCGTGGGGGAGGTGTCACTCTTTACAACATACGTATCATTCAGATTATTGGGCTGGGATCCTCCACCAGAACCAGAAGTTAAACTTGATGATGGTATTCTCACAGTATAGTCCATTGTCATTCTTGAAGGGTTCACCTCCTTCTCTGGAGATTTTGGTGGAGACATATCCCCAAAGAAGGCTGCTCTTGCTGCATATTTATCCGTTGGTATCTTTGCTTCGTGTTCACATTTCATGCCCACGTTGCTGATTTTCTCTGTGGTTTCCGTCAGCGGCATGGATGCGTGTGGTGGCGCTGACCTCGGCCCGCAGTCCACGTTGTCCCTGAAGTCCGCATCCCCGTCGCCTTCTGATGCTGGACGCAGGGCTCGGGAGGCCAGTTCCAGAGACTTGCCCATCTTGAGAGCTTCCTGTTGGGTAGAGATTTTCTTCTTCCTCTCACGGGATGTCTCGGCTGCCTGTGGAGATCAAACACAGGCATTAGAAAAAACATACACACATAAATCAGAATCTCGCATATTCAGCAATATCTGAAGTTTGTTTACTCATATTAACAAATCCTGAATACAGTGAGGGGCGCTGGGTAGCCTAGAGGTTAATACATTGGCTCGTTACGATAAAGACCATGGGTACAATGTGTGAAGTCCATTACTGGTGTCTCCAGCCGTGATATTGCTGGAATACTGCTAAACGCGGAGTAAAACCGTACTCACTCACTCACTCACTAAATACAGTGAAACCCTGTTCTTTCAGAATCCTGAGTTGTGAAAGATTCCTGGTGTGAATATTAAAATAAACAGATTTTTCAAGCTATACATATCTTTTCAATACAGATGCTTATAAATTTGTTATTCAGACATACATGTATCAAAACTCCTCAAAGTCATTAAAATTTGTTAAATAGTAATTAATTCAACTGGAGCCTCATATACTAGTACTGATGAGGATAATGTTGATAAAACCATGCTCAGTATCACTTTCCAGAATTTCAAGGACACCGTGCGATTCTTGTGATCCTATTGACGACTTACATTTCCACAGTCTTTGGACTTGTTTATTGTAATAACCTAGTTAAGAAAAAACAAAAGATGCATAAGAATTCTTTCTTCAATTTCCTGAAGTTTTCCGAAGTGAAACCTGTGACCTCGTGTGACATCACAACACAGACACGGCAAGGAGAAGACAACTTACACATCCCGCGAGGTAGAGACAATAGTTTATCCGTACCTCAATCTTCGCTACACGACTGTCATGGTTGGGTACAATGGCTCGGATGTTTTCTAGGACATTCTTCCTGTCCTCGTCACCTACTTCCTTCAGGTTGGAGGCGATTGGGGGGATCTGGGGCGGCCGATGCTCTTGGACTGACGCAAGTCTGCAGAATGAGGTAAAATGGTTTCAAGGAGGGAAGTGAAAAATGAAAAGAAGATAAAATGGTGAGATTCAGGTTAAGGCACAGGAGAGAACAGGTTATGATACGATCATATTCATTTTGAGATATGGATGTGAAAGGCCTGTTCAAGGAGATTAAATGTCAAACAATGAAAGTGTTTCATTCATCAATCAACACATTCACTCATCCTGATGGTGACGGAGGTTAAGCGTTTGCTCGTCACGCCAAAGACCCGGTTTCAATTCCCCACATAGGTACAATGTGTGAAGCCCATTTCTGGTGTCCCCTGCTGTGATATTGCTGGAATATTGCTAAAAGTGGCATAAACCTCAACTCACTCACTCACACATCCTGATGAGTAGACAAGAGTAACTCCTACCGTTTGAGTGTGTACAGTGTTCCAGTCAGCTTCTTGCATCTCTTCAGGTCGGCCTCTAGCTTCTCCGGTTCTTCCTTCAGGAACCTGGAACACACAAGCCTGCCACAATGTACTGAACTGACTAAACAACACTTACCAATCAGAGACTAGGTCTGACTAAACATAACACCTACCAATCAGAGACTAGGTCTGACTAAACATAACACCTACCAATCAGACACTAGGTCTGACTAAACATAACACCTACCAATCAGACACTAGGTCTGACTTAACATAACACCTACCAATCAGACACTAGGTCTGACTTAACATAACACCTACCAATCAGACACTAGGTCTGACTTTAACCATCAGACACGCTAAACATAACATACCTACCAATCAGAGACTAGGTCTGACTGGCGATTTGATTGTAAACAGTGTTCTCACAATGATCAAGATTTACTGACAATGTCCCAGGTTAACATGATTGTAAGGAAAGTTCTGACAAAGATTGTAACCTACTTCTCCTCCTGCACCACAATCTCCATCTCCCCCGCCATCACCAACTTCAGCTGCTCCTGCAGGGCTGGATACCTCGCTGTCAACATCAACACAGAATGCACATTATGTAGTCAGGCTACAAATAAATAACAGCCACTGGGCACACTCTTATGTATCCTTAGTTTTAAATGAAAATGTGCGACCATAGAATTTCCGAGAATGATCCAAAGTCAGATGAAGAAGGATGCAGGAAGCATCAAAGGATGCAGATAAACTATTACATCCATAGATTATACACAATAATACTGACTGTGCCGAATTCTTGACAAGAAATGTAAAGGTATGCTAGTTAATGGAGTGATAAAATCTTAAAAACTGTATCAATATTTTAAATGCTAATGTATAAGGTGCAAGATGCACCCCAAGATGTCTCTTAACATAAATGACAAAATCATCTCCACAATCCTAAGAAATCTCTTCCAAAAGCCGAGTAGATGGTACAATTCTGACTATGTCATTTGTGCGTGTCTATGACTTACTAATATACCAATTGCTGACCAAAAGGTAAGACTTTCCCGTCTTGCAAGTTGCACCAACATACACACATGTAAAGGCAAGGCAAATGTTCACCTGACAAAATATGTGAACATATGCAGGTGGTACAAGTCAAATAAGAAAAGGCATTGAACATCCTATTGGTAACTGATGCATCAAATTTGGAAAGCTACACTAAGGCCTTGAATGTTTTCATGTCTGTAGACAAAAATCCATTCCCAACTTCATTTGACAGATTCAATAGTGGCCATTTTTTTAAATTATTCACCTGAATCAGAAAACAAGAAAAAGAACCATTTTAAATAGTGTTTTACCTTTGAGATCAGCCAGTGACTTGGTGACGTTACTTAGTATCAGAGCCATTCCTTCTACGTCCGTCATGTTGACTCGACACTGGCGGGATATGACGTCTGCTCGCAACTCCTCCACACTGGACTCGAGGTCACTGAAACACGGTGATAGATGTAGAACTGAAACACGGTGATAGATGTAGAACTGAAACATGGTGACAGATGTAGAACAGGGTATCCTAATCATGGATTAAATAAGTATACAAGGATACATGATATATCCAGCTAACGATGCACTGAGATTCATTCTACATGTTGATTTGTTTGACTGGTGATGGCAGGCATTGTTTGAATACAGCACTCTTCAATATTCCTGGCACCCGTGAAGGTCCGGGTTAGAATATTGATCTTCAGTAACCCATACTTGTTGTAAGTGGCGACTAACGGGATCGGGTGGTCAGGCTTGCTGACTTGATTGACACATGTCATCGGTTCCCAATTGCGCAGATCGATGCTCATGATGTTGATCACTGGATTGTCTGGACCAGACTCGATTATTTACAGACGCTGTCATATAGCTGGAACATTGCTGAATGCGGCGTAAAACTAAACTCACTCACTCACTCAATATTCCTGGTATATGATGGTGGTCTGTAAAGAATTCAAACTGGACAATCCAGTGATTGATATTATCAGCTACTGTTGGGGTATGATGACATATGTCAAACTAGTCACCGACCCATCATCCATCCTGTCACATCATTCAAGCAACATACGATGAGTGAGTTTAGTTTTATGCCGCTTTTAGCAATATTCCAGCAATATCACATCGGGGTACACAATAAATGGGCTTCACTCATTGTACCCATGTGGGGAATTGAACCTGGGTCTTCAGCGTGACGAGCGAATGCCTTAACCACTAGGCTACCCCACCAACCCTAAACAACATGGGACATTGGGGACAAGTTCTAACCTGGAATATTCGATCCCAGTAATGTAAATCCCCACAGTACATAAAAATTTCATGGACAACTAGCTGAAGTCTAGGAGGATCAATAACAGGCTCTATCTGACGATTTCCCCCAGAACTGATCTGACCAACATCACCACCAGCAGGACAATGTAAATGGCTTCAACACAGGAATTACACTGAAGGAGAGATCTTACCCTCAGTGTACAGTACACAACCCTGTGCACTTAAAAGAACTCACGAATCTGTTGGTATATGACCAGATGGTGTCCAAACACCTAGTTGCGGGTACAGCAACGTGCAGTGAACTTGGACAAAGTACTGTGACTATGTGTCCCAGTCAACCCAGCTGTGAATGGGTACCTCGTAAGGGTGAGAAAGCCGTGAAACTCAGTGCGCCTAGTGGCTGCAAGAGTTGTATGCTCCCTGGGGAGTTGAGATTGATAATACGATGTGCCGTTGAGATTGACATCCAGTGATCGAGGGAAATATCAGCGCCTTGAGCATGTACTAGTCACGTGGATATATGTGCTATATAAATATCATGTAATAATAATAATAATAATTATCGCCTCTGGTAACTCACGTCAGCTCTTTAGCTATCTTGGCCTTGTCCTCGATGTACATGTGTCTGTCCGTGTCTGTCTCGGACCTCTGCCGCCGGACCACCTGACTGCTGGAACCCGGAACTGTCCGCAGCACATCCTGCAACAACAGATCTCCATGTCACACACTCTAACAACCTGGTCCAGCTGCTGGACCTGGACCCTACACTGACTGGATCAGGCTGGATCTCATGATCAATGGTTTTGTCTGTTCTGATTGATTTAAAATAGTGGGTATAATCCTGAAAAGTGTGAGTTCAATAGTCTCTTAATATGTGTTATAATGTCTCAATGAATATCATATTCTCTGTCATATGTCTCTCAATGTATGGGCCCAAATGTCGGTTCAAACTCACAATGAGTCTTGGGACATTTCTCTCTGCTTGCTTTCCTTGGCTTCTAGAACTGACTTTCACAATGTGACTTTCCTCACACTGGATGAAGGAAGGTAGTCTTCTGACCAATCACCATTATGTTATGTGACCCACATTCCGATGGACGATGGGCTTCTCACCAATGTCCATCATGTCACACGACCTACCTTCAGGTGGACGATGGTCTTCTGGATCGTGTCCATCATGTCACATGACCTACCTTCAGGTGGACCATGGTCTTCTGGATCGTGTCCATCATGTCACATGACCTACCTTCAGGTGGGCGATGGTCTTCTGGATCGTGTCCATCATGTCACATGACCTACCTTCAGGTGGACGATGGTCTTCTGGATCAGGTAGACCATGGTCTTCTGGATCGTGTCCATCATGTCACATGACCTACCTTCAGGTGGACGATGGTCTTCTGGATCGTGTCCATCATGTCTTCCTTGTTGATCTGCTGCATGCGACGTAAACCACGCAGCTCGCCCTTCAGCTCGGACGCCTTCTGCCGAATGTTGAGGATGGACTCGCGCAGATCGGCGTCTCGCTGTTCAGAGCCGGTCAGTGTTCCACTCTGACTGGATGCCGTAGGGATGTCCGACATGCCTGAAACAAGAGGTCAGCATATGAAGGGAGGTAACTCCTAAAGTCCTACAACAAATAATCGCATCAGTTCTGAGTTAGATTGGTTTACAGGACTGCAGATGTTCTTACTAGTGTCCACTGCTCTTTGGTCCAAAATTGGATTTAATCTATCAAAGTTAAAAGGAACATCGCTTCATGGCACTCATTAATTTATTACACCTTAGTTTACAGTAGATTTCAATAGAGAGGACAAAGTATGGTGGGTGCCTCTTTGACTCACAGCATCCCAAAACTTCAAACAATTTTCATAGACATCAAATTAGACTTTTCCTGTAAAAATTTGAAATAATTATTTCAGTGTTCCTCGTACCAGCAGTGACACCAACAAGAACAGTTAAAAACTGAAGAGAAAAGATTCTTGATAAAACAAAATATTGAAATAAGAAAATGAAAAATTGGGGAGGAAAATGCAAAAACAGAAGCAGGTAAATGGATTATAAAAAAATGGCTGCAGAGAAGCAAGGATTCCAAACACGTGCAACATAAAACAAGGAACAAAAGCTGAACAGAAACATTTGTTTGACAATGAAGCATTGCTCTGCATAAGTAAAACTTAAGGAGTTGTGTTGAAGGAGCACAGAGACTTTGCTCTGATGTTTGTGAGAGTTGACACGTGGTAGGTTCCTGAAACACCAATCTACCATGCAGAAGGATTTTACTAAACCCAAGGCAAGTGTAAACTCCCTGCCACAACATTTTTTTTCCCTATTCTATTAGAATCGATATATTGAAATATTTTAAAACATTACAAGCCTGTGAGGTATCTATCTCTTAACTGACATTTTTAATATAATCAAGATTGGCATGAAGAGTGAGTGACTTTGGTTTTACGCCGCTATCAGCAATATTCCAGCTATATCATGGGGGGGGGGGGGGGGGCCAAAATTGTGCTTCACACATTGTTCCCATGTGGGGAACTAAACCCAGGTCTTCAGCGTGACGAGCGGACGCTTTAACCATAATGCTACCCCACCGCCCCTCTGACATAAAGAGGAACCCGCCTCCGTGGTGTAGTGGTTAGAGCATCCACCCGGTGAGTGGAAGGTCGCAGGTTCGATCCCCGACTGCGTCATACCAAAGACGTTAAAATATGGTACTTGTTGGTACCTGCCTGGCGCTTGGCATCAATGGGTACAACAAGGACTGGTCGGCTCGGAGTCAGTATAATGTGTCTGAGTGGGTATTCATGCTTCACTGCGGCATGGTATCTCAGTGGGCTAGCACTATAAAACCAGCTTCAGTCTGGGCTAGTTCAAGCAGCCGCACATACACATACACACGCATGCACGTCGTCATATGAGTGAAATATTCTCAAGCACAACGATAAACCCAATTTCACCTCACCTCACCTCTGACATAAAGAAGTACCCTGAAACAGCTGTATAAAAATTTCATAGATAGAGTAGACATTTGAATAAATCTCAAGGACTCTCTAAGGGTATTCAGATTTGTTGCCATCTAATTAGTGACACACGAGTTGACTACTGATATCCTCACTGTAAGTATGTAATGTTTTCTGCATGACTTTACTGACGACACAGATCACTGGGGCATAATCATCAATTGGCTTCCAGAGATTGTTAACAGCAGTTAGAAGTTGACAGGCAGTGGTAATTTGAAATCCTTCCCTTGGCAGTTGTGGGTTCTCACAAGTGATATGCTGGCATTCTCATTAAAATCAGAGCTGTCACTTGGATGTGACTCCTCTGTTTGAGGATCTGATGAATCCTGCATAGGAGTTGATGTCTGGTGAACGATGTGCCAATTTTGACATAACCTCAATGAAGGATGTGTGGACAATTGAACCACTAGAGCCAATCAATGAAGGATGTGTGGACTGTTGAGCCAATCAGGCGTCAGTCTTCTGATACGCTTTGCTTTGCTTATGTTCTACCTTGATTTGGAATTTCAGTTTAAACAAAGAAAAACACCTGGCTCTGCTTCCGTTGTACCTTGATTTGGAATTTTGGACTAAACAAAGAAAAGCTGCTAAGAACACAAATATCTCTTTAGTGGAACTCATTTTTTTTAAATTCCATGATACTCAGAAACAGCTGGGTGTCTAAAATATGAAAATGTGTAAATTACAAAAATGGGTTGTCAAAATATCTCTTTAATGGAAGTCCATCTTGTTGGAATTGCCATGATATTGAAACAACAGCATGAACCACAGCAACACAATGGGTTGTCATTCAGGGCTGATCATGTTCATGTTCAAGACAATATAATCAGATTCGCCAATCTCGATGTTTTGGTCGCCAAGAATATAGCAAACTCGACATTGACTTGCTGATTTCAAAGTTCAACTGAAATGACCTCCTATGGAGATGTAGTTGGATCTTCATGCAGATAGGTATTGTATCAGAACTATAGAAAAGGGTCCCGATCTGAAAAACGTTCGTAGCGTCATGACATTCGTAAGCCTATGAAAAACTTTAGTTACGACAGATCGTAACCTTACGAACGCTTTATGTATCCAGACCCTGATTTCTACAGGAATAGAGGTACAGGACATTAAAGACTTCATGAAATTCTTAGAGGGCACCACGCCACATGGTGTGGTATGCATGGTCTAATGTCTGCATCAGATCTAAACGAGTGAGTGAGTGAGTTTAGTTTTACGCCGCACTCAGCAATATTCCTGCTATATGGCGGCGGCGGTCTGTAAATAATCGAATTTGGACCAGACAATCCAGTGATCAACAGCATGAACATCGATCTGCGCAATTGGGAACCGATGACATGTGTCAACCAAGTCAGCGAGCCTGACCCCCCGATCCCGTTAGTTGCCTCTTACGACAAGCATAGTCGCCTTTTGTGGCAAGCATGGGTTGCTGAACACCTATTCTACCCCGGATTTTCATGGGTCTAGATCAAAAAGAGGAAGATGGGGAAGGGGAAGCAAGCGTGAGTGAGTGGTTAGCAATATTCCAGCAATATCACGGCAAGGGGAATCGAACCAGGTCTTTGGCGTGACGAGCGAATGCTTTAACCACATGGCCTCCCCACTGCTCCAGGAAACAAGCGTGTTTCAATATGGCCACACACTCATAGGTGAAGTGATGTTGTCATGGTGAATGCTCTTCAAACCTCAGACACACACTCTTCCCGACTAAACATTTGTTGTCATGCTTATGTATGATGCATTAGTGTCAAACAGGTCAAACAGCAGGTAAATATTTGGATATTTTACACCACTCAAAAGAAGTTAAGAAAACACCTAATTTTGTCATTCGACTTAGCAAATCTGTCATGGCTTGATCCACACAACAGTACAGTAAACTTGTTGCGGGTACTTGGTTTTGACAAATTAACTACAGTCATTCATAAATTTGGTGATCTTTAATTTCTTTTGAGTAGCATCGATGACGGGTAGAATTATACAGCATTCAGTTGTTAGTACTAAAATTCAAAATTTGACCAGAGCTGCTTTAAAATGGCTTTAAGTGAGTGAGTGAATTCGTGTTATTCCACTTTTAGTCTTGTTCGAGACACTGCAGAAGAACATGTTGGTGCCCACTTCAGGATTCAACCCAGATCTATTTATGATGAACCAATGCTTTAACCACTTGGATACCCTACACTTAGCAAGCATTTATTTACCTGTAACGTGTAGAATGCATTAACCAAATGTACAGGTAGCTATGATGTTTGTATCCCTAATCCATTCATCACCTATTATCTCGGTCACTACTAAGGACTTAAAATCACCAGTTAGAATCTTTTGCCCATTTGCAAAGCAGAACTCAGAGTGCACTTCAATATCTTTGATTCGGTACAAATCACAAAATGTTTTAAAACATGACAAACTAATCTCTTCCTCCATCCACAAATACATAAACATTATTTCATGACATAAACTTTAAACGTAAAGAAATGAAAGAAAATCAAAACCAATAGAGGTTTCCTGGGGGCAGCCATCTTGCTTTCCAAAACGTTCCATTATTTTTGTTCTGTCAATGAGGTGACATGGAACCACAGACAACATACAAGCTACTTCCACTGCAATATTTTAAAACTCAAATAATTCAGTTCTATTACACTAAAATCCTCTGGTCAAATTTGACGGAAAACCATCCACCCATAACCGCTATGTCTGTGAAGGTTTCGATACTTCATGATGCATGTTGGTTAGGTAAGGCAGCGGGCAGGAACAAACATGTCTAACTATATGCATTGTCCTTCACCAATATTAGTACCTGTTACTGTCACCTTCCGCTTGGTGTTATACGCTGAAATAGACATGTCACTTGTTATGGTTACCACGGTTACAAAATGCAGCAATCACAGTTATGTCCCTTTGATTTGTCTGCATAGCTATACTAATTTTAAATGCTGTATGAATGCACTTTTATATCATGCATTGTTCTCATGCATTTCATTCTCTCAATTCATTGGTTACTCAAGACATTTTATTTCTTTTCATCATTTTGAAAGCCAGGAACGTTTAATAAATTACTCCCAAACAAAATGCTCAGTTCATTACAGTCGTGCCTGAGATCCCAAATACACAAAAGTATATATAATCATAACTTGCTACCTGAATAATAAAATTCATATAAATCACTAAATATTATATTTTCATCCCTATCCCATTCAGTACCAACACCACATCATTTTGTTTTATTGCCCCAAATATCGATTCGGACCCAAAAAATTGCACCTTTATCTTTTCATTTCAACAAATTAACCAAATATGATAAAAGTCATCTCAAACATCGACGTCAATCCCAAATGCTGAAAGTTCATGACATAAATGCCTTTAACAAATTGTTTAAAAAATTAAATAATAACATGCAAGTAATATTTTATAATCCTGATTAACCTTTCAAAATGATTTTATGAAAATATATTCCTCTGTCTGCTGTAGCCTGAACATCATGGCGTTACCATTTCTCCTACAGGTAGGTACCAGAGTTAGTAAGATAACATGTTCCCAACCAATGATATCTACATTATACAATGGTGTTAGTTGCTAGCTAACATGGTTCCTGGGATTATACAGATATCAGGTTGCAATATTCAGAGAAATGTCAGGTGTTATAACAGAAAATGGACCACAATACCAAATGGTTAGGAGAGGATGAACTGAAGAGAGACAGTCACAGAGTGAGTGAGCTGGATTTATCGTCTCTTTGGATCGTGTTACAGGTACATCACTGTTTGGTTAGACACAAGTCATTGAGTTTACCAGGTAGAACCTTTTTTAAACCAACACCAGTTTGACCCCAACATATATATCACTATATTTGGTGCGAATCTGATTTACACCAATGATCAGTGGATCCTGCCATAGTCAAGGGAAGCAACTCTGCACAGTTAAATAGTTACTTGAACCACAGGGCCACATATGCCTCCAGTGTATAGAGAGGAACTGTGAAAACTATTGTTGTTTTTAACATGTGGGCATATCAGTTAGTGAGTGAGTGAGCGAGTTTTACGCCGCACTCAGCAATATTCCAGCTATATGATGGCGGTCTGTAAATAATCGAATCTGCACCAGACAATCCAGTGATCAACAGCATGAGCATCGATCTGCGCAATTGGGAACCGATGACATGTGTCAACCAAGTCAGCGAGCCTGACCCCCCGATCCCGTTAGTCGCCTCTTACGACAAGCATAGTCACCTTTTGTGGCAAGCATGAATCAATCAATCAAGAAACCAGTCACTGGATTGTCTGGTCCAGACACAGGCATATTGCAGTGGCATTAAACAACACACAAACAAAACATTAATGGCTGAGTTTCTTTGTCAATGGATGAGTGAGTGAGTATGGTTTTACACAGCTGTTAGCAATATCCCAGCAATATCACGGTGGGCGACACCAGAAATGGGCTTCACACATTGTACCCATGTGGAGAATCGAACCCGGGCCTTCGGCATGATGAGCAAACACTTTAACCACGAGGCTACCCCACCGCCCCTGTTAACTGGAAGTTATTGGCAAAACAGTTGGAAACACTTGCAGGAGATGTGGCAAACAAATTAGTAGCCACTTTTCTTCCAAGCCACTTAATTTGCCACTTCACAAGCATCAACAGTAAACAGCCTAACAGAACTGAGAGATATTTCAGATAAATAGCCTACCTGCACACAGGATGAGATATACCTGCAGTAAGTGTGTTTAACTCCTGAATTCCTGATCATCAGGACCTGACAACTGAGACCAATCCCGCTCTTCTGAGTTCAAGCAACGCTTACATAACGCTACCCCACATACCATAACAGAATCACTCTACTTCCCAATATATATTTAATTTATCCAATGAATTATTCAAACCCTCTCTGGCATTGACAACAAAATACTTACCCCAACGTCTGTTATTCATCGGATCTCTTTTAAAAAACACAGGCAATAAAACACTATCCCAAGGTACGATCAACAGTTCCAAGTAGGGAATTGGTAATTGTTCCGTCAGTGAGCATAGAGGTGTCATAATGGCTTTTTAGATGAAGTAATGTGTTTTGGAGTGTGATGAGTGTGTACTTACTGCTGGCTGTGGAACCAGGGAAGGTCTCCGAGCTGTCGGACGTAGACACAGCACTGCTGGAATGGCCGCCATTTCTCTCTAGACTGTTAGACCTGCTGTCTGCCTTGACGGTATTGTGCACCCATGCAGTCAAGCTGGCCAGCTGAGCTTCCATCTTGTCTATACGGTGTCTGTAGACAGTCAAATAGATAAACAACTTTGACGAGCGATCGAAAAGGCTCTTCAATGCAGATAAACACCTCTAGATCAACGTGGGTGCAAATAAACCTGATAAAAATCAATTTCTGTGAACACAATTGACAGAACATGTTTGGCGACTTTTTGGGGCCTGTTGTATTAATGTCATTCCGCAGATTCCAAGTTTTTCTCTTCTATGACAGCTTCAGCAATGTGAAAGGAGGGACTTTTTGTTGCTGAGAGAAATTAAAGACACTTCAAGTTGCTGGAGGGAAATAACATCACTCCCTGTTGCTGAGGGGAACTGAAACACAGCTCATTTACATTTACGGAAATTACGACATTGCTTGCTGCTGGAAGAGGGGAGATTAAAACACTTGTTTGTTTTAAAAAAATTAAAAAATTAAAACAATTCCAGCTGCTAGAGGGTGGCAGTTGGAAATTTTCATGGGGGCAAAGAGGGTGGGGGTGAGAGAAGACAGATACTTCTTATAGCTAGCTGGGAGGTTAGAGATTGAGACATTGCTTGCTGCTAGGAGGGAAATAGGACAGGGGTCATTCCTTGGGGAAATTTACATACTCCACTTCTTTGAAGGGGTGAGGTATGTTTAAGACACTGCATTTTACTTGGTGGGGGGTTTGTTATGGGATGGAAGATTAAGACGCTGCTTGTTTCTTTAAGGAAAACTATCACATTTTGTATTGCCGTCAGGAAATTAAAAGACACTGCTTTTCTTAGGGGGAAGTTTACGTATAGCTTGTTTGGGGGACATTATGACACTGTCTTTTTCCTAGGGAAGAAAATAAGAAGATGAGTCTCTTGCAGGAGATAATTCAGACTTCTTGTTGCTAGTGAGATGAAGGTCATTTAGAGAGAGGAATAAAACACTTTTTCTTGCCCTTGTAAGGGCGGTGGGTAGCCTAGTGGTTAAAGCGTTCGCTCGTGAGGCTGAAGACCCAGGTTTGATTCCCCACATGGGTAAAATGTGTGAAGCCCATTTCTGGTGTCCGTGATATTGCTGGAATATTGCTAAAAGCGGCATAAAACTAAACTCACTCCTCACTTTAAGGTAATGTTCCACAGAGATAGGATGTCCTCACAAGCAAACAATACACTCACAGCTTAATAATACGTCCTATAAAAATTCAACATTTAAGACTGTACACTATAACTGGTTCCCTACAGACAGAAGTGTGAGAGTACTAAATGTTAGAACTTTGACTAATAACTGAGACTGTAGGTTACAATAAGGCTGATGTTGTTATCATTAGATTTACCATTCAGACTAGGAAGTTACAGAATATATGGCTGTTTAGTATTCCACTATAATGCTAGCATGTAGCTCCATAGAACAAGCTCAATGCATAGAAGCCTACTTTGTACAACTGAATTGCTCCATGCTAACATTCTGTTAGTTCAGGATAAAAGTTAGATCTTAACAGCATCTGCCGATGCTGCATCTCTTGCACAGATATATTGATTGCGAGCTATGTAAAATGCATCTGCTACCAAGCAGCCGCACATTCCCACCACCAGAGGGAGACAAAGAAAATCACCTGTATCTTAATGAGGACCTTTGGGAATAAAACAGATTCAAAATGTTGAAAAATCTTTTTCATACAAAATAGCCTTTTTTTTAACGGAAATGTAATCCATTGGTGTTTAAATTTCAGCTAATTTGTGGATGTTACTTATTTACCACAGTCAGATTATAGGATAAATCACAAAAATGAAAATAAACGATAAATTTTAACCAACAAATTTGCTCCATCTTGAATGGTTTTGTCACAAATTTAAGCAAGCTTATATCATGAAGCCTATGTCATTAGTTGGTTTAAAAACTAAGTCTCGTTGAGATGAAAATTGTGCAAAACGCATAGGGGTGCAACACCTTAAAATAATGAGTTTGTTAAAAGATATTACATTAAGAATATAAACATTTCTGTTTTAAAGACAGTTTTAATTACGTTGGTGGCACTTGCACAATCAGAAATGAAAATTCATTCACATTTTAATAAACCAACTAATGACAACTAAAAATGCCTGAGAGACCATTTTCCCATATTTAACACTCACTTATGATTAATCAGTGGAGGTTTGAAATCTCCATAAACACTTCTGAAACAGCTGATTTGATGTCAACCATTGTGGAAGCTAATATGTATTTATAATAACTTGGATAGACTCAACTCATGCCACTTCGCTCAATATGTTCCAGAACAAAGTGTTCAAGTTTAAGGTTTCAAATGACAATGACAACTTCTGATTTAAACAGCTAATTTCACATCCACTATTAATGCGGAATCTAATATTTATGTGAATAACTTTTCAAGAATGAGTTCATCCCACTTCACACAATATGTTCCAGTACAAAGTGTTCAAGTTTGAGGTTTCAAATGATTATAAATGATAGCCCATTACACACAGTTTACAGACTCATAGTCAAGCAGACCTTGTTTAGTCACTTTGATGCGAAGTGTCAGCCAGGGTAACAACAAGTACCAATTTTAAAGTCATTTGGTATGACAGGACCATGACCACTCACAATCCATGCTGTATGCTCCCTGGGGAGTTGAGATTGATAATACGATGTGCCGTTGAGATTGTCATCCAGTGATCGATCGAAATACCAGCGCCTTGAGCATGTACTAGTTACGTGGATATGCGCGCTATATAAATATCATATAATAATAAAATAATAATAATAATAATAATCCACTCCCCTGATGCTCTATCCACTCCCGTCTAACCCATTACAACAAGCTATGTGCAATACACTACCGGTTGTAAAGATCAAAGACTATTGGTCATGTACTATTTCTCTCAGTCATTCTCAGTTCTTAAAGCAACTTCTACTTAAAATAATTTTTATTCATGTAAAAACTCTTATTTTGTAGCCAAAACCATTCAAGAATTTGTAGTCTGATGTTAATAAGGCGACAGAAGCAGGGAAGAAGACGAAGCAGAGGAACAAACATTGGCTCGCTGTACTTGGTGTCTGAGTCGGACGGTTGGGGGGTGAGGCTTCCGTGCTCTCTGGGCCACAGTATCTCTCTCGGGGGTCACGCGGTAGCTCTGCGACCTCTGGTAGGGGGGCTCCTGATTAGGAACCTGCCCCTGACCTTGACCTCCAGACATTGGTGCGAAAGTGAGAGAGTGTCTGTTTTGGTTATTGTTTCTTGTTCCGTTTCCTGAAAGAAAAAGTTGTCCTGCAGCTGAAGAAGCATATCACTCACTCTATCCTCCTAAGGGAGTTGAGAATGAAAATTAATCATTAATCACTGTAATGTAATGATCCTGGGACCATGTGATTAAGAATGCCTTATTTAATTAGCATCAAACAAATGTACACATCAATTATCATAAATATTATCTCAATCCTGTATGACAGCATAATCAAATGTGACCATCGATCATTAAAACAATGTGTGGGTATTCTGTCCTATAATCCCCACTGGTGAGGAAAGCTTGACGTACCATTGCCCTGTTCTGTTATGAGATCCTCACAGACAGAAATATGAGAGATCCTGTACCCTGTCCTGGCATGGAATCTCCACCAGGAGACATGCATGGGGTACTGGGGACCTGTTCTGTCCTAGAACCTCCAGGAAGACAACTGTGAGATCCCTTACCCTTTTTGGCCCTGGAACCCCACTAGTAGACAAGCATGGGGTACTGGGGACCTATTCTGACTGAGAATCCACATAGGAAAAAAACAACAGATCCTTTACCCTATTCAGGGCTGGAACCTCAGGAGACAAGCAGGGTACTGTTGAATCATTCTGACCAGAATTTTGCCTGATATTTTGTACTTAGAACTTAGTGAGAAGGAAACATTTGCACTTACGTAGTTCCACTGGCGGGACGGTTGCTCTCTGAGGGGCGTGAACAGTGTGGGCACGGACACTGTGGGCGACGTAGGTCTGAGGGGGTTGGGGAGCCCCAGGCTGCTGGTGGTATCCGTACACTGGCTCGTAGTGGGAGGAGGTCCCCGGGGGTGAGAAGGGTCGGTGGGGCGGAGGGCCAGTCGGAGATGCCGCCTGACTCCGTAAGTCTCTCTGGTAGGCAGGCAACGTTTCGTAATTCCCGTTACTGCCGCCGTTCACAGATGGAGGGTATCCATTTCTCATCTGTTGATGTTCTGGAATAGTTCTAAGCATTACCCTCTCAGGCGTTGGCAATCTTTCTGGGGAGGCACGTGTTCTGGCTGGTCCTACTGATAATGACCTTGGCCGATCTACTTCTGGTGTATGTGACCTTGACCTTCTTTCAACTTCCCACATACGCTGGTCATCGATGATTTCTTGGTAGTGATTGGTTAACTGTGCTGGTAAACTACGTGTCTTTGCATACTGAAAAAATGTCACAAGAAAAGTGTGAGATTCTAAGACTTACATAAATGCTGCATCTTCTCATAAGGAAGTGCTCTTATAACAAAACACCAAACATATAAAGGATTTTGATGTATTTACTTAAGATAAATAAAATGATAAACAAATATACCCTCATTCATTGCAATGCACACAAACAGGTGACATCACAGCTATACGTGTGCTAGATTACCTACCCTAAGTGAACCTAGTGGTGCGGAAGTGAATTGGGAGATAAAAGTTACGTGTTCTCAGATTTGATGGCTGTTTTGAGCATTTGATCATTAGAAATATTAAAAGATGACATCATTAGCCAGAAGTTGCATATGGTAAAACATCTGAACATCTGACGGGTCATCTCAACATTCCCTATACTGATACCAACAGCCTGCAGCTTGTGCTATAAAACAATATGGAGGATGTCTAAACCCACACAGAACCCTTGGGATACTGCGGCAGTAATTGTATGTTACGGACATATTTCATTCTGCCATTGTAACAGATCTAAAACAAACTGAAAACTGACAGAAAACACCTATTTTATTTAAGCTGAGGGTTAACACATGTTATGTCATGCTACTTTCGTTGACTCAGAAACAATGTGCAGCTTTTTTGCTTCAAAGTGGGGTACAAGTGATTTATTAGCCTACTCAAAACTTGATTTCTCTCTCAGGTACAATAAATAGTATGTTATAAAGGTTGTGCTTAAATCTAATCTAACATCTAAATATTCTGATATAGAGGTACAATAAATGAGCTTTCAGTTTGGAGACAGATAAAGCCGTGACGTCATGTTACACATACTTCCAACAAAATCTGCCTATTGAAGAAAATGCAAAATACAACTTTAGTTTTTCTGATACATTTTGAACAAACTTGACATGTAATTTACAATTTCTTAGTTTCACCAAGCTAAATAACTCTTTAAAAATTAGAAATTTACAAGAAAAGTGTTCATATGCAGTACAAAAATCCAAAAGATTTCTGGGCTTCTGATTAAATTCAACAATCTTTTTCAACCAATCAGATTGCAGTGTTATTTTCCCTCATTTCAAAATATGGTATGACAAATCTAAAATATTTCACAGAATTTCTGCAGTTATGTTTCTACTGGAACAAGTTTTGACTTACCGCCATGTGCATATGATATCAAAGACTGACTGAGTTTAGTTTTACGCCACTTTTAGCAATATTCCAGCAATATCACGGCGGGGGACACCAGAAATGGGCTTAACACATTGTGCCCATGTGGGGAATCGAACCCGGGTCTTCGGAGTGACGAGACAACGCTTTAACCACTAGGCTACCCCACCGCCCCTATGATATCAAAGAAGTTGAAAGAAGTTTAATATAAAGTGTAGACAGTGACGTCCAATAAAACATGTATTCTGAGTCTCCTTACAATTAGAAATGTAATAGATGTAGAGCACAAATCGATGGTATTTGTGATTTTGGTTGCATTAGTCTGAAGAGAAAAGGAACATAGGTTCTACCTCTTCTCGAATCACTGCATCATGGTCGCGGGCTGGTTTGGGAGGAGCTTGCTGATTCTTGGACTGAACTGAACGACCACGTAGAGCAGGTGGGTACTCCTTCACTCTCTGTGGCTCGATACTCTCACACTCGTGGATCTTCAGCAACGATCGGTCCTTGATATCTCTGGGGAAATGGAGAACACAAGTTTAGATTTGTGACGAAATAGAGAGTATTCCTACATTAGATCTGATACAATGGTGACTGTTCCTACCTATGATCTGATACAATGGAGATTGTTCTTACCTGAGATCTGATACAATGGTGACTGTTCCTACCTTAGATCTGATACAATGGAGATTGTTCTTACCTGAGATCTGATACAATGGTGACTGTTCCTACCTATGATCTGATACAATGGAGATTGTTCTTACCTGAGATCTGATACAATGGTGACTGACCTATGATCTCCTACCTGAGATCTGATCTGATGACAATGATCTGAATGGAAATTGTTCTTACCTGAGATCTGATACAATGGTGACTGTTCCTACCTATGATCTGATACAATGCAGATTGTTCTTACCTGAGATCTGATACAATGGTGACTGTTCCTACCTGAGATCTGATACAATGGAGATTGTTCTTACCTGAGATCTGATACAATGGAGATTGTTCTTACCTGAGATCTGATACAATGGTAAATTTGTTCCTACGTGCAGGGTTGCATCCAGCTTTTCACAAAACTGGGCCAGTTGGCCCAATGATTACAGAAGGGCTATCATGTTTTACAATATTTTACAACTTAATGACCTCACTATTTGAACACTCCAGGAAAACACAGTCACATGATCATGCTCACTCACTGACTTTCACGAAAGCAATCGGAACGGTTGCCTTTGAACCTAGAAATCTCAGGACACAAGTCACAGTATATAATTGACACAGTAAGTAAGTACTAAAGTGTTGTACAGACTGTTATTTTTGTTGAAATTATACATCGCACTAGGTCAACAAAGTGCACCAACAAAACTATTTGGCAGACTGACTTTTCAATTTGTGAAAGTAAAGACACAGCTGCGTCTGTCCTGCTAATCCATGGCAGAGATACATCCCTGTGCTAGTGTTCCTACCATAGATCTGATACACTGGAGATTGTTCCTACCTAAGATCTGATACACTGGAGATTGTTCCTTCCTGAGGTCTGACACATTGGGGATTGTTCCTTCCTGAGATCTGATACATTGGAGATTGTTCCTATCTGAGATCTGACACATTGGGGATTGTTCCTTCCTGAGATCTGACACAAAGGAGATTATTCCTACCTGAGATCTGACTTCCTACCTGAGATCTGACACATTGGGGATTGTTCCTCCCTGAGATCTGACACATTGGGGATTGTTCCTACCTGAGATCTGACACATTGGGGATTGTTCCTACCTGAGATCTGACTTCCTACCTGAGATCTAACACATTGGGGATTGTTCCTACCTGAGATCTGACTTCCTATCTGAGATCTGATACAATGGAGATTGTTCCTACCTAAGATCTGACACAAAGGAGATTGATCAGGAGATTGTTCCTACCTGAGATCTGATACAATGGAGATTGTTCCTACCTGATCTGATACAATGGAGATTGTTGCTACCTGAGATCTGACACAAAGGAGATTGTTCCTACCTGAGATCTGATACAATGGAGATTGTTCCTACCTGTGATCTGACACAAAGGAGATTATTCCTATCTGAGATCTGATACAATGGAGATTGTTGCTACCTGAGATCTGACACAAAGGAGATTATTCCTATCTGAGATCTGATACAATGGAGATTGTTCCTACCTGAGATCTGATACAAAGGAGATTATTCCTATCTGAGATCTGATACAATGGAGATTGTTGCTACCTGTGATCTGACACAAAGGAGATTATTCCTATCTGAGATCTGATACAATGGAGATTGTTGCTACCTGAGATCTGACACAAAGGACTGACTGACTGAGATTGGTTTTACGCCGCTTTTAGCAATATTCCAGCAACATCACTGGGGGGGTACAACAGAAATGGCTTCACACATTGTGCCCATGTGGGGATTCAAACCCGTGTCTTCGGTGTGACGAGCCAACGCTTTAACCATTAGGCTACCCCACCACCCCCTGACACAAAGGAGATTATTCCTATCTGAGATCTGATACAATGGAGATTGTTCCTACCTGTGATCTGACACAAAGGAAATTATTCCTATCTGAGATCTCATACAATGGAGATTG